CGTAAGCAGCATTAACAGGGAAAGCAGGGAGTTGTGAATCTGGTGCCTGTTGCATTCAGTTCTCAGTGACACAGCCAAGTGTCCCACATTTGTTAACTGACTGTTGTATTTCTGTAGAGTTTGGGGTTAAATACTGCTTCCAGTGTGGCCACAAAGATGATTCTCTAATGAATCTAAAGGTGTTCAGTGATCTCTCAGGTCCCTCCCAACCCAGACCTCGCAGCTGACCCCATCTGAAGGCTGCTAACAAAAGGAACATCATCAGGTATCGATGATGGCTCAGAACGTGAGAGAACAGTGGAAATACAGCCCTGGCAGGCTTTGGTTTCAATTACTGAAAGCTTCCTGTGATGATCTCCTTATCTCCAAGCATTTCCTGTATAAATGTGATCCTGCCTATCAGGACACCACGTTAGCAAAACCCTGCAAACATCATCACCAGCAGCCTTATCTAAAGAGATAATTCAGTGTCAGCAGCACTTGAATTACCGTCCAAAATCTGTGCCCTGAGAACCGGTTTGGAATGAGATCCGTGGATTTCTCTGTATCCTGCAATCCGGAGCTACTTGGCAAAACAAAAGTTGAGGCTCAGCTGCTCACCTGCACTGCTGAGCTTTGCAGGGACGGGGATTTGAGCTGCAGCAGGATAATTTATCTCTGCTCACCATCAAATCATTGAAGTCAGGCCGTGTGTGTGCTCCGTCCCACTGGGAAACTCCCATTCCTAATGACCTTTGGGGTTATTAATGCTGATTTGTTCATCATTTGTGCATGGAGATAAAAAACAGCGCTCCAGTTAATGGTAGACACTCCAAAAATAGGAATAAAGATAAACTTATCTGGGATCTGATGATGTCTTCACCAAACAGACAAGGTACCATTAGCAGTGGCATTTTTAGCAATGGCTCCTTATCCCAGGGATCCAAAATAGCCTGGCTGAGTCAGCTCCTTGCCCACCTCTACCACTATAAATTGATGCACACGTCCAGGCTGTCACCTCTCCCTGTACACCGATTCCAAATCATATTTTAATTGCATTTTGATGCAGTCCCTCCCCTGGTGGCCTGCGCTCCCCTCTCTGGTTCTTCCATCAGTGAGAGAGTTTGGGATTTCAGAGGAGGAGCTGTGGCCTGGCGTGGCCACAAATGAGGATTTCTCCCCTTGCTGGTGGAGGTTTGTGCAGCAAAACATCCCTGCCCGCCCTGCAAGGGAAATAACAACACAGGAATGGGCATGGAGGGCTCAGCTGATCCCTCTGGCCACCACCAAGTGCATCCCTCAGGGCAGAGCCTCCTCCAGCTTCCCCAGCACGGCCCGGCCTGATTTATGGGTTAGTCAGCGTGTCAGATTCCTGTAATGAGATTATATATTCAATCTAATGAAGGAAAAATATGCTTACCAGCCTGGTGTGACAGTGCTGTGATTAAATGATTCAAGAACAGAGTTTCCTCAGTGGATTAATTAAAAAAAAAATGCAGCAGGTACAGCTGACCTGCTCCGGGTGTTGTGAGGGGCTCTGGCACGGGATTAATGGCTTGTGATGGTGTTGATAAAATAATGACAATAAAGGCAGAGAGGAGTGTGTGAAGCTCTTGGGTTGATGTTAAACCCCTCCTGTGGGTTTAACATGATCTGTGCTGGTGGAGGTTTCCCCTCCTGGTTTGAGTCCCAGGGTGGAAAGGAAGATAAAAGTGTGACAAAGGCTCTTGGAATGGGGGGCGCCTGCCCTGCCCATCCCCATCCTAATTCCAGCCAGAACAGTGAGGAAGATCCCTCCAGCTTGAATTTTGAGGAGCAGGAGTTCCATGTTTGAAGAAGGTGATGAGGTTTTTGCTGCTTTTCCACCTGAGAGAGGGAGAAAAGCATCACCGTGCACTGTGCTACCAGAGCCCTTTGTGCTGTCCTGGGTCACCTTCCCCACCTCAAACCCTGGGACTGGGAGCTGCCTCGGGGGCTCAGTCTGGTTGGAATCTCAAACAAGGTCACCAAAAAGAGCCAAAAATTCAGTCCCAGGTTTGGGATGTTTGAATGTTCGTCAGAGCAAGTGGTGAGGAACTCTCAGTGGATGAGTTGGGATCAGCTTTGTTTTTCAGGGAGAAGAGTTCTCTAACTCCCATAATCTGCCCAGGCTCTGGGGTGCTGAGCTGATTTTACTCTGATAATGCCATAAGCTGGTCTGTGATAATTGCTTTCTGTAACTGGGACAATTTATGATGATGCTAATTGGGCTGCTGCCACCCAGGGAGGGGCTGAGTTAATCCCTGCCTGTCCTGGAGCTGCAGATCCCGATGTGATCAGCCCTCCTTGGAAATTGAGGGAGGGGGGGTTAATTCTGAGCAGATTGAATTTCAGATGAAAAAAAACCCAGATCTTTTTCTACCAACCTACAGCATTTTATATCAGGTTTAAAGTCTGGTTCCAGATCATCAGACTAATTCTTAAAGGGAAAAGGTTTAATTCTGTTACCAGCAACTCTGTGATCTCCACGGTGAGGGAAGGGAACTCTGAGGAGTTCTGAGTTTGCTCTTCAGACACTGCAGTCCAGACCCCACGGCTCATCCCAGTGGGGAGATGTTTTAGGTTCTGCTTTTATTTTCCCTGGTTGCTCTGTGAGTGTTTGTGCGGGGGCTGAAGTTTGCCAAAGGTTACATCCCTGCCAGTGACAAACATCTTTTGTCATCACGACTCCTTTAAATGTATTTTTATCCCACAAATCCATCCCTTGGTTCTCCATCTTTGAAAGCCTCCATCTGCTGAGGCAGAGCAGGGGATGGCCTTGGATAAACCTGGTTTTCCTCAGGGAAGGGGGGCTGGAGTGAGGGGAGCACTGGCAGTGCCATCCTCCCTGACAAATCAGGCTTTGATCTCACGTCCCGGCACTTTGGTGTTTATGTTCCGTCTGTTTAATGTTCTCCCTTCACTGGAATCATCGTTCTTTTAAATGCTCTGCTTTACTGTAAATGTTTTAATGTTTTCTGCTCGCCAAACCCCACATTCCCAGACTCAGCAAGCACAGGATGAGCTCCCTCCAAGGGTGAGGGTGACAGGAACAGGGACCTTGAGCCCCCCTCACCACCCCAAAAATCCCCTGGCCCGAGGAGAGTCAAAATTTATAAACACACTTGTGAAATAATGAACTCTGGGAATGCTGGCCGTGTTTGTCATTTCTCTGCCCATTTCACTGCATATAAAGTGTGTTCACCATCGAACTCCTGTCACTTGATTTATGCCCGTGTGGCTGCTCCATAATTTAAATTGAATTCCTAATTTCTCTCCTGAAACCCCCTCAGATAATTACTGTTAAGGTTAACTGCAGAAGGGGAACTGAATAGTCAGTGGATTAGTTGGTTGTTCTGAGTCTTAGACCACAGGAAAAGGGAACACAGTCCAGGGGATATTGTCCAGGGAAGGGTTTGGCATGGCTGGAAAAGCTCTGGCACAGCTGGAACAAACTCCCAGGGATATTGTCCAGGGAAAGGTCTGGCATGGCTGGAACGCCTCCCAGGGATATTGTCCAGGGAAAGGTCTGGCATGGCTGGAACAAACTCCCAGGGATATTGTCCAGGGAAAGGTCTGGCATGGCTGGAACAAACTCCCAGGGATGTTGTCCAGGGAAAGGTCTGGCATGGCTGGAACACCTCCCAGGGAAAGGTCTGGCACAGCTGGAACAAACTCCCAGGGATTTTTTCCAGGGAAAGCTCTGGCATGGCTGGAACACCTCCCAGGGATATTTTCCAGGGAAAGCTCTAGCACGGCTGGTTTTAGCACAGCTGCTTGGTCCCTGCCTCCGAGCTGTGGCCAGGCTCCTGCAGGCACAGGGGAAGTGTCCCCTGGCTGGGAGGGAGGGTTGGATGTGGGAGGACAGAGGGATGGCAAAGGGATCACAGAGCTCCAATCTTTTCCCCACTTTCAGTGTGAAACGTGTGAATTGAACCTCGCCCTCGGGTACCTCACATTTGCACAGATGTGTCAAATCATGATCTAATTCCATTGCCACCGTGCAGGATGAGGTGCCCCAGACCTGGAGCCTTTTCCAGGTGGGTTTGCAGCCCTTGGCCGGGATGTGCAGGGCTGGATCCATCCCAGCAAAGCCGGGAGTGCTGCTGTGGAGGGGAATCTGCTGCCTGGCACCAAATGTAATTGGCTTTGATGGTCAGTGTTTGCAGATTTGTTTAGGAACTGGAAAATGTACAAATTGCAGCCCATCTGCGCAGAGCGGAGTGCTAATGAATGCCTGCAGCTACCACAGCCATAAGCTCATTACCACAAAGTTCCAAGTCCTTCCACAAGTTGCTAAACAAGGTTATTCATCTGAACGGAGTGGAGAAGGGAGTTTGACTGCAGGGCACAGCCAGAGCTCCTCCAGATCTAGAAAAGCTATTAGAACAACCCCCCGTTCTTTGGTCTTTTAATAGAATCTGTTGATTTTATTTCTATTTTTAATTTTGCTCTCCTGTGACAGCAGCTTGCCATGCCTTAACTATTTTCTGTTAAGGTTTGGAGTGGAAAGGCGCCTTGCGGGTGACTCCTGGGTGTGCTGAGGGACGCTGGGTGGTGAACTGGAGGAGATGGATTGGAACACATCGTACACAGCGTTTCAGGGGCTTTATGGACCGTGGCAGCAAACACTAATGGTCTCTGTTCTCTGGGTGTTTGTGTCGGCTGGGAATCTGTTATGATGACTCTGCTCTTCCTCTGCGTGCCATGTCAGGCCATTTCATCTTCCTGTTTCTTCACAAAAAAAAGTGGAATTAATAATAATTATTATCTCTTTTATAGAACTGGTAGTTGTCCAAGTGTTTGAACATCCAATGCATGGTGCAGCAGGAGCAATATGTAAAAATATTTCCTATTCTCTCTTGGCTGAGATTTTATTCCACGTTCCTTGAGGAAAAATCAGTTTTTCTAAGTTACCAGCCAAAGAAGCATTTCCCCATCCAGTTAAGGAGGTCATAAGGCCTTTGGCCTGCTCCACATTTTCCTGTGCTCCTCCCTGCCAGGTGGAGTGGCTGAAGAACGAGGAGCCCATCGATTCCAACCTGGACGAGAACATCGACACCAGGGCCGACCACAACCTCATCATCCGCCAGGCACGCCTGTCTGACTCGGGCAACTACACCTGCATGGCTGCCAACATCGTGGCCAAGAGGAGGAGCCTGTCAGCCACCGTGGTGGTCTATGGTCAGTGAGAGGGGCTGGGGGCCAAGAGCAGGAGCCTGTCAGCCACCGTGGTGGTCTGTGGTCAGTGACAGGGCTGGGGGCCAAGATCAGGAGCCTGTCAGCCACCGTGGTGGGCTGTGGTCAGTGACAGGGCTGGGGACCAAGAAGAGGAGCCTGTGGGCCACCGTGGTGGTCTGTGGTCAGTGAGAGGGGCTGGGGGCCAAGAGCAGGAGCCTGTGGGCCACCATGGTGAGCTGTGGTCAGTGACGGGGGCTGGGGGGCAGAGGTGGCTGTGCCTGCATGGCTGACAACATCGTGGCCAAGAGGAGGAGCCTGTCAGCCACCGTGGTGGTCTATGGTCAGTGAGAGGGGCTGGGGGCCAAGAGCAGGAGCCTGTCAGCCACCGTGGTGGTCTGTGGTCAGTGACAGGGCTGGGGGCCAAGATCAGGAGCCTGTCAGCCACCGTGGTGGGCTGTGGTCAGTGACAGGGCTGGGGACCAAGAAGAGGAGCCTGTGGGCCACCGTGGTGGTCTGTGGTCAGTGAGAGGGGCTGGGGGCCAAGAGCAGGAGCCTGTGGGCCACCGTGGTGGGCTGTGGTCAGTGACGGGGGCTGGGGGGCAGAGGTGGCTGTGCCTGCATGGCTGATTTGATTTGTGCTGCTATTGCTGCACTGATCCCTCACAGCATCACCCAGCCAAGCCCGTCCCGCTGGCACGGGTTGTGTTCGGTGCTGGGGGGCTCTGGCACGGCCCCACAGCCCCCCCATGTTGGTGTTTTGCAGTGAACGGGGGCTGGTCCTCATGGACGGAGTGGTCCAGCTGCAACGCGCGCTGCGGCCGGGGCTGGCAGAAACGCTCGCGCACCTGCACCAACCCCGCGCCCCTCAACGGGGGAGCCTTCTGCGAGGGCATGTCCGTGCAGAAAATCACCTGCACCTCCCTCTGCCCCGGTGAGTCCCCGCAGGGCTCTGGGGGCCGCGCTCACGGGAGAGCTTTCGGCCGGCAGGGAGTTGGGAAGGGAAAGGGAAATGCAGCCGTGGTTAGGCCCAGCCTGGCGTGGCTGTGAGTGCAGTGCCAGGCACCTGTGGCCAGGCTGGAACTGACCCTGGCACCGCCAAAACCCTGCCAGGACAGCCACTGGCTCAGGGGGAGAAAGCAGGGACCTGGGTGGGGGCCTGGTTCGTTTAGAGGGGAGCTGATGTTAACAACACCAGAAACACAGAAACCTGAGCTGAGAACTTCCTTAAATGCATTATTTATCACATAAAATTTTGCTCTGGAGTGTGTTAGAGGTGAAGTTATGGAGGGGAGAGGTGAAACGAGCACTGCTGAAGGAGCTCAGGTGGCACAGGCAGAGCTGACCGTGTTCCCTGCCCGCAGTGGACGGCAGCTGGGAGGTGTGGAGCGAGTGGTCAGTGTGCAGCCCCGAGTGCGAGCACCTGCGGGTGCGGGAATGCGCCGCGCCTGCCCCACGCAACGGCGGCAAGCACTGCGAGGGCCTGAGCCAGGAGTCCGAGAACTGCACCGAGGGGCTCTGCATCCAAGGTGAGCTGCCACGGGGCTGGGCACGGGATTTGGGATTGGCCTGAGACGTGGGCTGAAGGCCAGGGAACCTCTGTGGGTGGGACTCGTGTCTGAACTATTCCCGTGAAAAGGGAGGTGGTTTTCCGTGCGGAGTTTGAAATTTTCCGTGTGGCTGGATTTGTGTTGCGTGTCCTTTGCCTGTGAACAACCAGATGATGCTAAAATCCCAGATCCAGGGGGTTTGCAGGGTGTAACTCCGACCTCCACAAGCAAATGTGCTCCTCAGCCTCTGCCTTTCCTTGCAAGCAAATGGGCAAAGCCCCCCCAGGAGAGCTGCGGGTGCAGCAGCCGGTCAAGGTCGGAGTTTCTCCTTTAGCAGGAGCTAAACCCAAGCAAATCTGCAGCTCCCTGGGAAAGGCTTTGCCCTTCACCAGTGTCTGGGAAGCATCTGGAAGCTGCTGCTGTCCCCAGCACAGGGAGCTGGGCAGAGCAGCCCTGCAGCTGCGCAGGCTCCGTGTGCGGGAGGAATTTGTGGCTTTATCCCTGCCCTGAGCCTGCTCCTGTCCCTGCGGAGGGGCTGTCACCTCGTCAGGTGTGACTGCAGCCCTGGGAGCCATCAGGAGTGCCAGGGCTGGGAGATGCTGCAAATAAGGATGTGTCTGTTTTCTGTAATGTTGTGTTTAACCAGCCCTCTGTCCTTCTCTCTATGGTTCTGCGCTGCCTTCTCCTCTAAACTAAATGCACTCTCTTCTTTTGCCCTGAGATTTTAATGTTTTCCCAGCGGCAGAGAGCAACCTGTGTATTTATTCAGGCTTCAGAGACGCCTGAGCTGAGACCTTCCATCAGATTTTGCTGGGGTCTGGTGGGAGGGGACACTCAACCCTCTGGCTCTGGATTCCAGCACTTAAAATTCCCAGGGCTACAGAACAGCTCCAAGGTGTCCAAGGACAGAAATGAAATTTAATTTATTTTTTTTTTCCTTCCCTGTGTTTTAAGAAAGAATAACCAGAGAGAGTTTGGGAGCAGTGTCATTCACGCAGCTCTCGGGGACTGTGCTGGTCCTGGGGTGTTTCCTGGGGTCTCTCCTCCCTGTGCATTGCTGGGGGCTGGATCAATCCCAGATCCATCCCGGTGTCCATATCCGTGGGGGCCGGCAGGAGGATGTGTGGGAAGGGCGTGAGGAGCAGCAGCTGAGGCTGCACGGTGGGGGTGTGCCAGCCAGAGGGGACCTGCCACCCCCTGGGCTCTGTTGTGGTGTCCCCAGGTCAATTGGACATGGCCCCACTCAGGTCACTGCCTGCAGGGACACAGTGAGTGGGAAATGTTCCTGTCCTGCCCAAACTCCCCTCTTTCCCCACGTGGGCTCCTGTGGGTCACTGCCACACCTCAGCCGTGCCTGGGGCACAGGGACAGAGCCCGACTGTGCCAGGGAGCCTCTGGCACTGGGGGAGCCGGGTCAGCTCTGCCCTGTGAGGCCCCTGGGGCTCACACAAACTCCTTTCCTCCTTCTCCTGCGCCAGGGAGGCCCTGGAGCCACAGAATGCTGGAGTGGTTTAGGTGGGAAGGGACCCTAAAGCCCTCCAGTCCCACTCTCCTCCATGGAGACACTTTCCATGGACACTTTCCCCCGTCCCAGGTGGCTCCCAGCCCCGTCCAGCACCCCCAGGCCCTGCTCCAAGAGCTGCATTTCCGTGGGTTCAGCTGGACCAGAGTGTTCCATGTCTCCAGGTGTGATCCTGTCTCTCCCTCGTGGCTCGAGCTGTCCCCATGTCCTTGTGTCACATTGTTCTTAGGGCTGTAATTGCTTTCTCAGCTAACAGGAATTGATGCAATTACCCTGTTTTTTAAAAATCTCTTCTCCCCTGTTCATCTTCCAGTATGTGCCTTTCCTGCTCCGCTTCTCATCCCGTGGGGAATTGTGGAGGAAATGCAGCCCTGAGCCACAGCAAAGCAATCTCTTGGAGGTTTTTTATCAGGCACAACTCGTTAACTTTGCTCCTTCTGTGAGGCAAAAATAGAAACATTCCTTTGGTTAACAAATAAGGACTGAGCTGAAAGGGAGGATGGGAATGGAGGATGCCAGGGAAGAACCAGCCTGGATTTGGCTGGGATAAATCCTGATCCTTTGGATGAATGTTCAGATCTGGACATAGTGAATGAAACAGGGATAAAATGGATCAGCTCTGAGGTTCTTTATTGTGTCCCTGACCAGAGAGTTTGGGAATAACCCCAAGACACCACAGGGGAACATCCCAGCGCTCCCCTTGGCCTTGGATTCCCTGGCTGGATCCCCATGGTCCAGCCCTTACTGAGGAGCAACTTTTCCTTCAAGGAATTTCTCCTGGAAATTGTAACACTTGTGTAGACCCAAACTTCGATCCAGGAGGAAGATTCATGTGAGGTTTGGTAGAGATGAAAAGTTTCCAGGGCTGCCAGATCGATTCCCAGGGATGCAAAGGTCACTTTGACCCCAGACGCTCCCAGCACCTCCCTGCTTTCCTGCATGTTTGTTCTCCCAGGGTTTATTCCCTCCCAGTATTCCCAGCTGGATTCTTTGCCAGGGTGGACTTCTCTCTCGCTCCTGCAGAGGTGAAAGCTTTCTCTTTGCTCAATAAAAGAGAGGGGTTTTTTTTTTGAGAGCTTTTTGTTTTACTTTTATCTGCTTGCTTTAAAGTTATTTTTCCTGACTTCAAAACCTATTGATTTCTTCTCCCAGTGCCCAAAACCAAAACAAACAAGCAGGGCCGCAAGGACTGACCTGCAAACATGTTTTTACTAATGCTCCCCGAAGAATCACAAAACAATCACAAATCATTTCATTTTCCATTTTCCAAGCAGCGCTGCTGCTGTTGCCAGGAGGCTCCTGGATCCAGGAATCTCCATTTTCATGGGAAATGCTTTTCCCTTCGCAGTTTGGTGCAGACAGCCCCTGCCAGCAGCAGGGAAGGGTTTGCTCCACTGCAGACTCAGCTCTGATACCCCTCTCTGGGTGCTTTTGTGCCTCATTTTCCTGCAAAACCAGCACCATCCTTGGGCAGGGAAAGAAGAAACTCATCCCACCAGGGTTTTGGCAAAGCCAAAATCCAACAATCTTCTGGGTTGAGTATTTCTGAACATTCTGAAGCATCCTCACAAACATTAAAATGAAGAGAAGGAGCCTCATAATCCACCTGAGCCTCCCAATTTTAGGGATTCCTTTGGCAGGTTTTAGGTTGTAAATGGTGACTCAAGTGCTTGGCACGAGGGAGGCAGAGAAGGCTCGTTTTTGAGTCCCATAGAAAACCCCTTTTATCCCACATTTTCCATCTGTTGGGGGCACGTGGATGTGTGCATTCATGTACACACAGAGAGGTGCCATTACTGGGGGTGTTTAGGTACCAAAAATGTGAATAAACTGGGCATTTTTATAGCTTATAACTAATTTCAGTGCCCATCACCAGCATTCCATACATCAAACACACAAAGGGATCATTAATTCTGACCTGAGTCTCTTTGCCAATGATCCAGTGCAAGGTATTGAACTTCCTTCTCGCTGAGGTGTAAATAAACAACAGCATCCAATAGAGCCAACAAATAACCTGAATTAACCAAGTGAGAAATTGCTGTGAAGGAACTTCCTGAAAGGGATTTAGGAAAAAAAGAAAAAAAAGAAAAAAAAAAAAAAGAAAAAAAAGAAGATGAAGAGAAAAACATGGACAACATAAAATATTCATATTGTCAGCAAACGAGGAGAAAATGTTTCATTTATAGAGTGAGACAGAAGCAATATAGGAAATAGATATGCTCCATGTAAATTTATTAAGTGCAACTTTCTCTCTCTCTCTCTCTCTCTCTCTCCCTCTCAGATAAAAAACCTCTTCATGAAATAAAATCCCAAAGTAAGTTCTTTTTTTTCTCTTGTAAATATGATTTTCCTCATCTTCTCTGCCATTTGGGTTATTTGTTTAGGAGCTAAGTAGGAGCCAAGGTTTTATGCGAGGCTTTAGCATCTGCTGAAAGCGTCTTTGGCGCACTCTGTGATCCCAGGTTCAGCGAGAGCCCGGGGAATGCTCATCCCCAGCGATTCCTGTCTGACAGGGAGCCCTGGCTCCAGGCATGCTCGGCTTGGCATCCATCTCTGCAGCGCCTGGAATTAGGAAAACAGCAATTAATGCAGGGGTTTGGGGTTTTGGTGCAGGTCTGGTTGGGCTGCGGGCTCTGACCTTGCTCAGCTCCCTCCTGGCTCAGCTGGAGGGTTTTTCTGTGCCTTTCCCTGTGCCTGGGGATCATCTCAGGGCTGTTCTGGGGCTCCTGTCCTGCACCTGCAGCTCTGCCCGGCCCCAGCAGGGACTGGCACCGGGGGCCAAGGCACAGGATGAGAGGGAACAGCCTGGAGCCGGGCCAGGGCTGGAGCTCAGCAGGAATTCCCCAGCAGCAGGGGCTGCGCAGGAGGTGCCCAGAGGTGGCACCTGGGCCGTGGCTGGTGCTGACCATGCTGCTGCTTGGTGATCTCCGAGGGCTTTTCCACCCTTGGTGATTCTGTGATTTTACATTCCTGGTTCCTAGTTTTTTCTCGGGATACCCAAAATCAGTTTAGGGAGCTGCAAAAGGTGCTGAGGATGCCTTGAGCCCTTCTGCTTCGGGTTTGTCTGGGGGTCCCCAGAATCACCCCTGGTGGGGCCCCTGGGGCCGCTCTGTGCCAGCCTGGGCTCAGGGACTGCGTTCACTTTCTTGTCTGTGCAGTTTCATTTCATAGAGAAAATGGAGAGAACCTCAGCCAAATCGCTGCATTTTCTGATTTGCCCAAAAACGAGCTGCAGTGGGATTGATCTGGGCTCTGAGAGGCCCAGAGATGGAAAGGGCTCAGTTCCACCCTGGGGCAGGGACACAGAGCTCAGCTCCTGCTGCTCAGGGAGCAGGAACTGCTCCAGGACTTCCCAACTCATCAGGGATGCAGAATCAAAGCCAATTATGAAGATAATTGAGGGACAACCTGTTCCATGGAATGATCTCTGACTGAGTCCCTGACCTGTGCTCCGAGTGAGGAGAAAGACTTTGGGCCGTGGGAGTGATGGGGAACTCGGGAAGGGGAGCTGGAAGAACCTGTGGGATCTCCTGCCCAGATCCCGGGATCTCCTCTCCCTGCTGGAGCTGGGGAAGTGGGCCCTGCACAGCTCCTGCAAAGCACTCCTTGTAAATGAGATAATTTAATCAATTACATCTCCTAATGCACTAAACCAAATGTTTCATTTTCTGCTCCTGCACATCTTAAATTATCTTCAGGTGCTTTATGAAACTTAATCATAGTTAATAGAAACTTCATTACCATCAAATGTGCTTTCAATAAATGTTGTGTAACAGTGGCAGGAGGTGGAGTGACAAATGGGCTGCAATTATCACAAACATGGATCCTGGAGCAGAGAGGGATAAAACTCCTGGTGCCTGCCAGGGTCCTGCCCGCCCCTGGGCCGGGAGGCTGCAGCTCATTAAGGAGTAATTGGTGGACTATAAATGTTTGCTTTTTTAGTTTGTTTGCTCGGTTTCCACTTTGTTCCCTTCTGGGAAAAAAATAGAAGCAGACCTCACCCTGCTCCCCCAGACTTCCCACGCCTTCCGCCTTCCCTTAACTTCTCATCTCCCACGGAAGGAGTTCTCCAAAAGAAAAGATCAGAAGGTGAAGAGGTAAAAATTACTTTAAAAAACCCCAGCGGTCGTTTCTAAAGAAACACCAAAATCCTAAACCAAAAAGAAAGTCTCCTTTCTCATGGAGTTGTGTTCCATGGGAATAATTCTGAGTCGCTCTGGGTTTGCCCTTTTAGCATAAAGCTGTTTAAAAGCCCAGGAAATGCTGAAAGGGATCCTTGGCCTGTGAGCTCTGTGCTCCCCTGAGGCTGTGCTGGGTTTTCCTGGCAGTGGGGCAGTTCTGGGATCACCTGGGGGACTCTGACAGGTGCTCCAAGCAACGACCAATTTATTCCAGGGAAGGAACCTCAGGAAGAACTCCTGTGAGAGCTTTTAATCATAAAATTTATAGACCAGTGTCCAATTCAAGCTCTGGAGATACTTCAGAGTCAATGAAAAGAAAATTCTTCTCCTCAGAAAGATTTTGCTTGAGTCAAACAGCTCCCATTTTTTTTTTATTCCGTGCCCTCCCTCTCATCTTTAACCCATGTACAACGGTTTAAAAGTGGGAAAGTGGAAGTGCCTGACATGGGAATCGATGGAAAAGGAGATGCTGAAGCACTTGAGGAGATTTAGAGTCAGAATTGCAGTTGCAGTGGGCCCCTGAGGAGTGGCTCCTGCTCTGCTTTGGAGGGCAGCACATCAGCTCTGGGCTTCTCCCCCGCTGCTGTCCTGGGGGCTGGAAGTTTTTCCTGCCAGGATATTTCTGCACCTCTCAGACTCAATAATTTATCAACCCAGCAAGGCAGGAGGGGTAATTCACGTTTTCAGCACTTTTCCTTTTTAAAGCAATGATCCAAAGGGAAGAGTTAAAGATGCTTTGTGGTGCAATAACCGCAAGCTCTCGATGGCTCCCTGGGAAGGGAAAGACCCCAATTGTTCCTGAGATCCTGGAGATCCATCCCCTCCCTCCTTCTGCCTCATTCATTGCTCTAATTACCCACAGAAATTAAGTCAACAATAGCGTTTCATAATTAATTCCCTGTAACAACAAAGCAACTTGGGAATAGGAAATTGGAAGAAATAGAAATGCAATTATTGCCTGTACTCCCCTTTCTGCACCTGGTGCTGGGGAACAAAGCAGAGCTGTGGAAGTGGGGCTTTGGATTGGAGTTTGTGTTGTTTTGGTGTGATCTGAGACATTTTCAGTTTGCCTTTGTGACCCTGGGGCTTTGCATTTGCTTTTTCTGTCTGGCCTCTCCCATTGTTACATTGTCAGCCAGTATTTCACTCTCTGCAATGCCTAACTGAACCTAAAACACTTAAAATTCTCTTTACAGCATTTTTCAAGGGGGCAACTCATGGAAAAAAATAATAATAATAAAAAAAGGCTTCCGAAAAAGAAAACAAACACTTCTCTTTTAGAGACTGATTAGGTAGAACTGTTGGCAATGGAATTGTTCTAGGAAGCTGAATTTCGTAACCTTACGAGTTTGTTCAATGTGGTTTCCTGACCTGCCACAGAAGGTGGTTCCTCCTCAAAGCTGATGTTTCCATGAAAACTTTGTGATTTTTCTTCCTCCTTCCCAGCAAGCTGTGAATGTGTTAAAAGCAGAACCATTTTTCATTTGGAGATTACTTGTAAACATAGCAGAAATTCTGCAGGAGTATTTTCTTGGTTAAATGGTTCTGGTGCTGGTAAAACTGATATAAAAGATGTTTTTTGGGTTGAGTGGGGTGCTGGAATCTCATGGTTGGGGTTGACTGGGACCAGCTGGAGAGTGGGGACGAGAGGGATGTTTTCTGTTAGGGATGTTTGAACCAACCCTTTGGCTGTACTTCTGAGTGGAGCTCCCAGCTGAAATTCAGCTTGTTCCCAGCGCCTGGAGCGGGGTTTGGGGACTGGGGGTCCTGGTGCTGCCGCTGCTGGGGCTGTTCCCTGCTGGGAGGGAGCTGTGGGTGCTCAGCCCCTTCCCGGCACATCCCGCTGGGGATGGCGGCACTTTCCAGACGCTTCATTTTTGTGAGGAAGTGTTGAGCCAAGGAAACGCTGCCCAGAGGTGCTCGTTCCTTTCATCTCGACAGTCTGAGGTTTCTTGTTCGTTTTTAAAACTCAGCTAAAATGAAATTGTCCCCTCATGTCCTCCCGTGTCCCCTGTCCCCCATGTCCCCTGTCCCGCATGCCCTGTCCCCCCATGTTTACCTGCCATGTCCCCACACTCTGAGCATGTTGTGTCCCCTGTCCCCCCCATGTCCCCATGCCATGTCCCTGCACTCTGAGCGTGTTGTGTCCCCTGTCCTGATGCCATGTCCCCATGCTCTGAGCATGTTGTGTCCCCTGTCCCTGTCCCCATGCTCTGAGCATGTTGTGTCCCCTGTCACCCCTGCGTCCCCCCATGTCCCCCTGCCGTGTCCCCACATTCTGAGCATGTTGTGTCCCCTGTCCCTGTCCCCACACTGTGTTGTGTCCCCTGTCCCCACTCTCTGAGCATATTGTGTCCCCCTGTGTCCCCTGCCCTGTCCCCACACTCTGAGTGTGTTGTGTCCCATGTCCCCACACTCTGTGTTGTGTCCCATGTCCCCACATTCTGAGCGTGTTGTGTCCCCTGCCCTGTCCCCACACTCTGTGTTGTGTCCCCTGTCCCCACACTCTGTGTTGTGTCCCCTGTCCCCACACTCTGAGCATGTTGTGTCCCATGTCCCCACACTATGAGCGTGTTGTGTCCCCTGCCCTGTCCCCACACTCTGAGCGTGTTGTGTCCCATGTCCCCACACTCTGAGCATGTTGTGTCCCCACAGATGTGGAGCGCAGCGGGGCCATCGCGCTGTACTCGGGGCTGGCGGCGGCGGTGCTGGCGGTGGCCGTGCTGGCGCTGGGGGTGACCCTGTACCGGCGCAGTCAGAGTGAGTACGGCGTGGATGTCATTGATTCCTCTGCACTCACGGGAGGCTTCCAGACTTTTAATTTTAAAACAGTCAGACAAGGTTAGTGCGGCGATTTCCTCTCCTTCTCTGCAGAGCTCCCACTGCTCAGGCACGCCTGCATTTGGGGAGGGGGGTTTGGGGCAGCCAGGGCAGGGACAGGGACCCTGGAACTGGCTCTGCTCTGTCCCACAAACACAGAATCCTTCTTGGCCACGCTCCAGATGCTTTAGAAATGCCGTCCCCAGCTCCTACACTGATTTAGGAAAAGCTCAAACTAAACAAAGCGACCAAAGCAACTCAAGCTCAGGCAACAGAGCCGTAGTTCCTCCTGTTCTGTCACAGCCCTTTCCTCCACTCCAATAAAAGGGATTATTCCTTCACCGATAATCTGAGACCCAGCAGGAAGTGTTTTGTAACCCACAGACACTGGGGTCTGTGGGAAATAAATGTGTGTAAGACTGGACCCCCAAAGCTGTAGAAAAAAACACCAGTGCCAAAAAACGTGGACAAAACGTTAACTAAAAACAGCGCTCAGGTTTTGAGGAATGTTATTCCCTTTGAACAGGAAGGTGGGGAGGGAGAGAAACGGGGATGAAAGCAGGATGTTTATTGATTCTGTGCTGCCATTCTACCTCAGACCTGCCTGATTGTGGGTGGGTGGGAGCGTGGGTGGGGTGTGAAAGTGTCCCCATGTCTCTGTTCTCTCTTCAGAAAAGGGAAATATGTTGCAGAGTTTGTTTGGGGGGGTTTGGTGGTGTTGTTTTTACAGTTTCTTTATTTCCTGGAGATGTCCTCACCAAGCATGACTTGCAAGAAATTGGGAAAAGGGCTTGGCAGACAAGGACGTTTGAAGGAGGTTCACTCATCCATTTCTAAATCCAGACCTTTAATTAGGGCTGTGTAAATCTCAATGACTGTGTCAAACAGAAACATTTTCCTTTGTGTTTCAGTTTGAATCTTGTTTTGAGTCTGGGGAATTGTTTGCTTGGCTTAATGCTGAAAACCTTTCATTCTGGATGCTCTGAAAATCCCCAACTAAACAACCAAGGAAAAAGACCCAACCACAAAACCAAACAGCCAGAGGATTCAGGCCCTAAATCCATCCACCACTCATTTTTTTTTCAGAGTGTCTTCTGAGGGAAAAGGCCTCAAAATGAATAATTGTGGTGTCTTTCCCTGTATCACTCTTGTCCCACTTCCCTTTCAGCCCAGTTCCCCTCAGGCATGAAGTTGTGGGTTTGTATAAAAGGTCTGCAGGAAGTTGTTGTCACCCAGTGGGGTTTAATGTAAAGAAAGAAAACAAGGAGAGAGGAAAAAGGCAAACACACAAATGTGAATCCAAACAAAGGAGGCTCCTCCTTGTATTCCTGCACTCTGGAGCTGCCTGAGGTGTGGCAAACATGAAATGTCAGATCTTTGCACCAGTTCCTCTGTCCTCTAACGTGGTTCGGTGTGAGTTTGGGCTCTGAGAGCTCGGGCAGGGCAGAGCAAGCCCCAGAGGGGACGGGAGAATTTGGGAAGGGATTCCTGCGGCGTCCCCTCCACCCTCGCCAAGCGCTGCTCCTGTCCCCGCAGGTAACTCCCTGCTCCTGAACTCGTCCCTGCAGCCCGAGCTGACGGTCAGCAGGACCTACAGCGGCCCCATCTGCCTGCAGGACCCCCTGGACAAGGAGCTGATGACGGAGTCGTCCCTGTTCAACCCCCTGGCCGACATCAAGGTCAAGGTGCAGAGCTCCTTCATGGTGTCCCTGGGCGTCACCGACCGGGCCGAGTACCACGGCAAGGCCCACCCCGGGACCTTCCCCCACGGCAACCCCAGGCCCTTCGGGACAATCCAGGCCAGGAACAAGGCCATGTTCATCCAGAACCTGGCCTCCATCTCCAGCAGCAGCGAGCTGAGGAGCTCGGCCCTGTTCGGGCACCTGGGGGGCCGCCTGGTGGTCCCAAACACAGGTGGGTGGCTCCTTTCTCATGAAAGCACATAAAAGAATTTGAGATTAGGCTGTCTGATGTAGTGGTTTAGAACTAAAGTTTTTTTAAAAAAAAATGCCAGGAAAGAAGAAGTAGGGGCCCCATTAATGCAAATTTTGGGAAGTAGGGCACATTGCCCACACAGGACACGAGTGATCAGAGGGAAGCCTGGGCTGAGGACTGAAGAGGCATTATGCCTATTTGAACTGTTTTAAATTACTGCCTCTCTTGATGTCTTCAGCATGAAAGCCACATTAATCAAAGCTGTGCCTTGCTTGGATCCTGCTCCAAAGGAAAGGCTCCCCGGGAAGGGTCGATGCTGGATCAGAATCTTACATAAGGGCTCACGTTCCAGCAGCAGCTCCAGCCCCACAGCCCTGCCTGGGGGGCACAGGGACAGCAGCCAGGCCTGGGGACAGCCCCACAGCCACCAGGCTCCTGCTCCCTCCTGCCTGCCTGTTCTCCCCTTTTCTGGAGCAAAAAGCTCCCCAGACTCGCAGAGCGGGGCCTTTCCTGTCAGCCCTGTCCCAGGCTGGGCGCTGGGATCTGCTCCCTCTGCTCTGTGTCAGGAGTTTTGGGAGCTCAGGGCTTTGTGGGATGTGTTCCAGACCTGCAGGATTGTTTGTGAATGAGCTGAACAGCAGATCAGAGCCCAGCAAAGGCTGTCAGGGTCACGGCCCTCAGCTGCACCCCAGGGCTGTGTTTGCATCACCCTAAATCCCAGCCCTCACCTTGGGCACTTCCTCTCCCCTAAAGGCAGCACAAAAAGCCAGATACCCCAGCCAGGGGTTATCAGCCTTCGACTTCCAGTGACATTTATCCACTTTAAATTCAGCTCTGGTTTTGTTTGACCAGTGGCTCCAGGATTATCTGCTGCTCTCTGGTTGAACTGGATGATTTAGAGCTTTATCCTTCATGTCCCACAAAACGGGTTCTTTAAAGGTTACCATAAAAACCATGGTTTGTGTTTAGAGAGGATTGATAACAGTGACAGTCCAGGCATGCACAACGTGTGGAATGTTTTCATTTCTCCACAGACCAGTTTTATGCTGAGGAAGGAACATTGCAGAGGCACTAAGTTAAGGCATGAATTAAGAATTCCCTCATGCTGTATATTTAGCTACTTTATGTAATGATAGTCCCATCAATTAGATTATTAAAATATGTATTTGGTCCACTTGCAATTTATGTAATTCTTGCAGCATTTATGTAAGATCAGCTGTGCCAAGCAGTTGTAAATTCTAGTGTGATGGAGTCAGTGCCTTGCTGAGGCTCTGCATCGTGTGACAGATACAAAGCCAAACACATTCCCCCTCTCCTGAGAGCGAGATAAAGCAGTTTAATTCCAGTGGTGCCCAGTGGAAAGCTCCCTCCTTAACTTCTGATCCAGCCTGGTGGTGTCAAAGGAGAATGGGATCCCTTGGACGCAGGAGCTGGGATGTGTGGGAGCAAAGGGGTGATCGCCCTGCAGGAGCTCTCCATGGGGAGACTCCCTGGGATCCCACAATGATCAATGATTTCAAAGCTGGAAAGAGGCAAGGAGCTCTCAAGAAGCTTCTTGGGAAATAAGATGTCTTTTCCTTGAATGGCAAAGTGACAGCTTTATTTCCTTTGATAATTTATGTTCCTTTCATCTGCTGACGTTGCCATGAGAAGCAGGAATTCAGGGGAATGTTCAGCTGCTCCCTTGGGGTTGTGTTCCCTGCCCCTGACATCCCTGCCCTTGTTCTTTTCCAGGGGTCAGCCTGTTGATTCCACACGGAGCTATTCCAGAGGAGAGTTCCTGGGAAATCTACCTGGCCATCACCCAGAAGGAGTCCAGGTGAGAGATCCAGGGTCACAGATCTGCCTCCTTTGGGTTGGGTTGGAACGTGCAGGAGTCACTCCTGGTCCCCACTGCTGGGGTGACCGCCCTGCTGTGAGCCTGAAAGGGACACAGAAATGTTCTTGGAGTGCTGCTCCTGTGAAATCCATGGAATTCTTGTGCCTGCTGCTCCCTCCTCCCCTCCCTGCTCAGGAGGAACTCAGCAGCTGCACCTCGGGCTCCGGGGGTGCTTCCATGGATTTTTAGCCTGAGAATCCTACAGACACTTGGAAGCACCGAGGCTCCAGCAGAATTTACTAGTATGACACTTGGAAAAGGAAAAAAAGGAATTGGCCTTTTTTTGTTACCCTGTAGTTTCTTCCTTTTCTCCCCTGCAGTCTCCCTCTCACCAACTCTGCAGACACAGACTGAGGGAGGGCTGGAACGTTCCAGGCTCTCTTTAGCAGGAACGGTGTTTGCAAAGTGCATTTCCTGAGCAGCTACAGCTGCACGTCAGGCTGTCACCACGGGCACTGGAATGGGGTATCCAAGTCAGATTGGGCTTTTCTCCTTTTTACATCCTGGTTTTATTGTCCTATCTTCTTATTTTTATCTTGGTTGAGGTCCTTTCCCTAATTTTTACATTGGTTGAGGTTCCTCCTCTCATTTTTCATCCTGGAAACAGCATTTGCTTTCCATTTAAAGAGGGAACTGCACGCCCAGTAATTTAGAAGCCAATCACGGGGATCACACGACCCAGATGAATTAAAATACAACCAAACAGCAACAAAACCTTCAGGGCAAGAGGGTTCAATTGCTGCTTCAGTGTCCAAGGGAGTCTCCTCCACTCTGGCACCGCTCCTGCCCAGGGATTTATTCCAAGAGATGCAGAAACCACATGGCTGTGGGGCTGGGTTCAGTTGCTGGAGTGGGAGAGAAGAGCAGATTACACATCTCTAGAAGTCAGCAGAGAGGCTGAAGCTCTTCATCCAGCCCAGGTGATCCCCTGGAGCTCGGCTGTGCTGGTGGGATCTCCCCTGCCTGTCCCGGAGCCACACTGGGCCACTCCCAAATCCACAGCCCCATCCCCGAGCCTGTAAAAGTCACTGAGCTCGTTCCTCCTGCAGAATACAAATGGGTTTTCAAAGCAGGGAGATCACACTCAATCTGGAAAAATTTATGAGCCTGTGTTTTTTAAACCATAATTTGTTTTATCTTCGCTCCTGTGAAAATATTGTTGATGGCAGTGTTTGAAGGCAGAGCACGGTGGGGACGGGACCAGCTGGTGCTCGAAGCGGGGCTGGCTGGCACAGAGCAATTTCAGTGCTGGATTTGGGTTAAACAAATTGAAATGTATTTTAAATACCAGAGTCCTAAACTGACCAGCCGCTGATTGGAGTTAGATGGGGTCTAATGGGTTTGTTTCATCTCCAGCTGCTGCTTCCACGTGAAACGAGCAGAAATGAGCAGATGAGGGAGGTGCTTGGATTTGAACTGAAATATTTTCAGTGAATTCTCACTCCTGACAGCCACTCTTGTCTTTGCTGCCCCAAGCCTGGAGCCAGAGGGCCCCGAGGTGCTGCTGGGGCCCGAGGTGAGCTGCGGGCCCCCCGAGCTGGCTGTGAGCACCCCGTGTGCCCTGAGCATCCCACACTGCGCCCACGCCGACCCCCAGCACTGGAGCATCCACCTCAAACGCAGGACGCAGCAGGGGAAGTGGGAGGTAAGCCCAGAGCCCACCATGGACATGGAATTAGCCCTCAGCCCATCCTGTTACTCCTCGTGCAGAGATTCTGGCAGGGATAGACACAGGGAGACATCTGAGAAACAATTACAGCAAAAAGGGTTTGCACTGTGGGAAGAAGCAGCAGAATTGGTTTTGGGGTGTTTTTACCAAGATGTGCAGAAGTTTATGGCTACAAAGGCCAGCCCTGGATGCCACGGCTGCAGCCTGGCCTGGCCTGTCCCTCCCTGAGCCCCTGCCTGGCTTTTGCTCTGCTTTCAACCATTCCAGTCCCATTTGCATAATTCAGATTTACTCAGGCCTTGGGCAGCTCCAGCAGTGCTGGCCTCAAACAGCCCGGGCCACTGAGGAGAGGGACACGGGGACAGAGTCACACGGGGACAGGGGGACATGGGGACACAGGGACAGAGGGACAGAGTCACACAGGGACAGAGTCACACAGGGACACAGGGACACAGGACATGGGGACACGGTGACACAGGGACATGGGGACACAGGGACACAGGGACACAGGGACAGAGTCACACAGGGACAGAGGGACAGAGTGAAATGGGGACACAGGGACAGAGTCACACAGGGACATAGGGATACAGGGACATGGGGACACAGGCACAGAGTCACACGGGCACACAGGGACACGGGCACACAGGGACACGGGGACACAGGGACACGGGGACACAGTCACATGGGGACAGAGCCACACGGGCACACAGGGACATGGGGACACAGGGACACAGGGACAGAGTCACATGGGGACACAGGGACATTGGGACACAGGGACATGGGGACACGGGGACAGTCACACAGGGACACAGGGACATGGGGACACAGGGACAGAGCCACACGGGCACACAGGGCAGGACTGAGCAGCAGAGGCAGAGCAGAGGGAGTTTTTGAGGAAGGAAAACGTGGCTGTAATGGGTGTTCTGGAAGTCAAAGCCCAGCCATTGTTCAAGGTTTGCTTATTGACTTTAACCTTCAAGGTAATTTTTTAACTTGACATTGGGGGGGGGAAATTAGGCAGAAAGTCAAGAGCACTTGAAAAAAGCTGCTAAAATTGCTTAGGCATCATCATTATTATTGTATGTACACAGCGAGCTCTGCACAGGGCACGGCCATAAATCCTCCTGCTGACTCAGGGCTAAATTGGGAATATTTACTCAGGGAAGCAGTCCCCCTTCTCCCCTTCCCCGAGAGTGCAGCCTGGCTCCCAGCAACACTGCATTCCAGTTGAATAAAAATAAACAATTAATGCCATGACTCCTATTGTCGAGGCCTATTGATCCGACTTCACTTTATTCTTTTTAAACCTGAATTTCATTTTGCAGGAAGTGATGTCTGTGGAAGAGGAAACTACTTCTTGCTACTGCCTGTTGGATCCTTATGCCTGTCACATTCTCTTAAACAGCTTTGGAACTTATGCCCTAATTGGGGAACCCATCTCTGACTGCGCCGTTCGACAGCTGAAAGTCGCCGTTTTTGGCTGCCTGTCTTGCAATTCTCTGGATTACAATCTGAGGGTTTATTGTGTGGATAACACCCCTTGTGCATTCCAGGTAAATGGCTTCGCTTTGCTCCTCTGGGCTTTGCTTATTTTCCCATAAAATGCTGACATCCTTTTACCCCCCTGGGCAGCCCCAACCTCAACCCAAGGAGAATACTGGATTTTTTAAGCGCTGCTGCACCATTAGAATAAATCCCTCCATTTCCCTGCAGGTGTGGATTTACACTGGGAGCTTTAGGGCAGCCAAACTCTCTTGCTTGCTCTCTCATTTTTTACCCACATTCTCAACTACCCAAACTCACCCAGCCCTGCTTTACAAAAATTCAATTATCCTGCATTTCCTCTTAAAAAAAAAACCCAGCCCAATCCCCACGTGGCAATTGAGATGAGAATGATTTTCCTGCACCGTGTTCCAGGACAAAACAATTCTCTGGCTTTTGGTAAACTCAGGAGCTTTACCAAAATGCTGTTCTTTGGGGAGCTGAAACGCAAAGAGTTGTGAGGTGAATTTTTTGCTGTCGCACAGGAATGGAAACACGGCTCTGACTGAAGCACACGCTGCTGTCTCTGTGCTTCTAATAAAAGCCAAGGCACCAAAAGGATTGTTAGAGGCTCACAATGGCTTTGTAATTATCCTCTTTATAACACTTAGACAATTAGCGGGTACCAGTGTCTTCCTGATGAGTCTGGAGGAAATGATCAGAAGAATAATTACCAGTTCTCTGCGTTCCCAGGGTGTTTGTAGATAGTGAGACAACCGTGCATTCACGGAACGATGCAGCCCCTAAAAGCAAGTCAATATTAGTAGGGAACGTGGGGAATTACAGAGCTTTTTGGATAAAACACCAGAGCTGGGGTTGCCAAGCTGTGTTTGACAGTCAATCCTGCACGGGGCAGGTTTATGTGAGAGCCAGAATTCCCTTGGTTTTGACTTTTTCCCTGTGTGAAAACTCTCCTTGCTCCTCCAGAAGCTGAGGTGGGCCTTTGTGAAGTTCTGAGTGTGCTGGGAAGCTCCTGGCCCTCAAAATCGAAGAGAACCAGCTCCTTTGTGTTTTTCCCAAATGCTGCTGCTGTGGGAGGAGTCCCACGTCTGCCACTGCAGGCAGAGCAGCACTCACAGAACCTTCCAGAACATCCAGCACACCCAAGGAGTTTTGTGAATAGTTAAATAATCTGCTCCCTTTGTGGCTGGAAAGCAAAAACTGAAGTCTCCCTGCCTTCATTTGAACCCAACCACCAGGGGTTAAACCAACCTAAACACCTGTAAAAATTGGTTTATAATGGAAATCTGTTAGTGCAGTTTCAGAGAGGTCGAGCACTGAATTTTCAGAAGGTCACAATGGTTCCAGGGGCTCCTTTGGTCCTAACAAGCCCTGAAGCCCTTTGGTGGACACAGATTTGATATAATTTTTGTGGATTAAGAAAGGTAATTTGGAAGCACTGCTTGCCTGCTGATTTTTAAAGACTTCTGCAACCTTTCCTTCCTCGCTGGTGTTTTTATTGCAACAGCACAGGAATAAACATTGCTTAAGTACAGGCAGGGGTGATCTTTTCCTGCCATTATGTTTTAAATTCACAGAATTACATAAAAAATTCACTTGGAACAGAGCTCTGGAGGGCTGTAGTGCAAACCCCTGCCCAGAGTCTGCCCTTCACACTGCTCAGGGTCTTGTCCAGCGGTTCTGGAAGTGCCCCAGAGGTGGGAAATGGAAGGGAATGATTTCACCTGAAGTGTCTGAGGGCTCTGCAAAGCCCTGAGAAGTTCCTCAGCAGAGCTGCTCTTGAGTCCAGCTGTGCTGGGCTGCTCTGGGGGTGTTGGAGAGGGGAGACAGCCAAAAATTCAGTGTCCAACCCCCATTATCTGTCCAGAAATGGGGCCAGACAAAGCCTGACTTTGGGGCAATGGAAATACCAAACCCACGAGAGAAATTCTGCCGTGTGTTCAGCACCACGGGGGAACCTGGCACCTCCACAGAGAGGGATTTTCACTGCCTCTGGGGTTTGTTCCTAATACTGAAAACATTCTCTCCTCCTCCCTTGCAGGAAGTGGTTTCGGATGAAAGACTCCAAGGGGGGCAATTGCTGGAGGAACCCAAACTTTTGCATTTTAAAGGCAACACCTGCAGCCTGCAGATCTCAGTGCTGGACGTCCCTCCCTTCCTGTGGAGAATCAAACCCTTCACTGCCTGTCAGGTACCTGGCATTTCACCTGCTCCCCCTGCCCTGGGGGGCAGAACCCGAATCAACCGAGGCTCCTTTTATTTAAAAAGCTGTAAGCCTCCCGAGCATTTAACAAAAACATGTTGCCTTTTGATTCTGACAAACACAGATTTCGTTTATACCAGAAAGCTGTAAATTTGTCATTTTACAGAAATGCTTGTGCTTTCCCTCATTTCAGTTGCCTCCAACAGAATGCAAATATTCCTCCTGTTCAAACTTAACCACTCCTCAAGATGTTTCTAATATCTGTCATTCCAGTTTTGATATAACTGTGGAAATATGGCTAAAAATGACATTTAAATGTAACCACGAGTTAAAATCACAGCACACAGAGACCAAGTATTAGAACTGAAGAGCAGCAAATTGGTTTTTCTCTTCTCCATTAATTGAAGAGGCTGTTGAAAACTGAAAAGGAAAAATCAAAACAAAATAAGAATTTCCAAGGATTTTGGTGACTGGAAATCCTAAGGAATGTGCTGGCACATGGAGTGGGCTGGTTTTAAAATACAACACTCAATTAGAATGTACAATCTCCCTTCTCCCAGAAGCAGAGACACAATTATCCATCCTCCAAGATTTTGGCAAAAGCCCTGTTTTAAAAGTGTTGCCACGTTCCCCAAAACATGAGGGTAATGGGCTCTGAAAGTTATAAACACAGAGCCAGGGAAAGCCTCTCCTCGTTAACAGCGTGGGGAGAATTTGGGCTACAACTTAAAAAATCATTTAAATGAATCCTTTCCAGCTTCTCAGGGAGAAGAGCTTTTCAGTGTTTTGTTTGTTCTTCTCACTCACGTGTGTTTTAAAAGCCAAACCAAGCAGGGTTAGGATGGCCCAGTTCTCCAGCAGAGACCTGCCAGTGTGTGCCCAAAACAAAATCAAATCCGAGGAGTTTCCTCTCAATGCAGCAAATTCACTTCTGCCCTCACCAGATTATAGAGCTCCATACTTTGATTAATTTATTGTCTCCTAATCCCTTGTCCAAACACGAGGAATAAATGTCTGTGACAGGCTGGAATTGAACCTCCAAGTGCCACTTAGAGCCTGATCAGAGGGGGCTGGAACAAAGCCTGTGCAAAACCCCTGCTGCCAGAACGGGCTGACAGCGCTGCCCTGGCCCAAAGGAATATTTACATTTTATGGCTGAGTGTAACTGGGATGGCTTGGACAGCTCAGAAACACAATCACTGTTCCTCAGAGGAGCTGCAGAACCTCCCCTGGCTCTGTGCTTCCCTCGCAGTGAAAAGTCTGGTGACAGCTCTGGTTTGGTTCCAGCCTCTTTATAGAGAAAAAAATCTATTTTTGCACGTGGAGTTTCTTCCAGTGTTCCCTGGGCTCCTCTCCTACGTCCCACCCTGTGAGAGCAGCTGCTTGTGCTGCCTGGCAGGAACAACTGAACACAGCCTGTTCCAGGAATGTCTCTGGTCCACCAGCAGCACCTCCCCGGGCAGCGTGGGGAGGGGAGATTTGTGGAAATGATGTCTCAGACAAGCAGCCATCCTGCTCCAGGGCCAGAGCAGATGAATAAATCACGCTGAGGAGCTGCTGGAAGGCAGCTGGTGGCAGGTGGCACCAGGATTCCTGCAGGCTCTGCTCACAGCCTGTGTCTGTCCTGGCCTGGCAGGAGCATCTCCCAGAGCTGGGCTCCCTTCCCCTGTGGATGGGAACAGCAGGAGCTGGGCAGGCACCTCTGAGTGTTCAGAGCAGCTTTTGCCTCCCATCCTGCATCTCCTGGAGGCTCCAGCTCTGCCTGGGCCATGAGATGATTTACAGCCCCTCTGTCTGCAAGGAGCTTAATTACAAACGCAGAATGGAGCTGAAAGCGTCTCGGGAAACTCCAACCACTCATTGTTCCTGCACTCCTTGCTGCTCTGCATTGTTTCACGAAGCTCCTTTCAGCTGAGTGATTCTTCCACTCGGAGTGAAAGCAGAGATGATCACCCTGAAGAAAATCTAATTACAGTTTCTCCACTCCTAACATTTTGCTAACGTTTCCTTTATCAGTGTGAGCATCTTACTACTGCTGCTGCTCCCAGCCTGGGGCTGGGGAAGGCAGGGAAGGATGCCAGGGCCAGGACAGTTCTCAGAGGGAAATTCCTAATTCCTTTGGGGTGGAGAAGGGAAGGATGCCAGGGCCAGGGCAGTTCTCAGAGGGAAATTCCTAATTCCTTTGGGGTGGAGAAGGGAAGGATGCCAGGGCCAGGACAGTTCTGTGTTCCTTTCCTTGGATTCTGGTTACAAGGTGATTCCAAGGAGACACAGAGAGGACAAGGGGGAGGAAGTGAAGGCATATTTAAGTGTCTTTAAGAATGTTTTTTAAGAGTTTCCCATTACTCATTGCCCCTGATGAGCCCTGAGCTCTCGGTCACTGCGACACCTCAGTGCTCATGAAAGCAATCCTCACTTTCTGGCTTTGTGCTGTTTGGGGCTGGAGGGGACGTGCCTGAGCTGTCCCCAGCAGAGCAGGATGTGGCTGTTTCCCCCCAGCCGTGTCCCCTGTCCCTGACGTGTCCCCATCCCGCAGGAGGTGCCGTTCTCCCGCGTGTGGCGCGGCAGCCCCCGGCCCCTGCTCGGCGCCTTCTCCCTGGAGCGCTTCAGCCCCGCCACCAGCCAGCTGTGCTGCACTGTGTGCGTCCGGCAGCTGCAGGGCCACGAGCAGCTCCTGCACGTCCAAACCTCCGTCCTCGAGGTAAAGCCTTGGGCAGCCCCTGCTCTGTGGGGTGGGATGCTCACAGAACAGAATCATG